GATTGAACCGTGGTCCCTGTGCTTTGCTTAGCTTGTTCTAAGTAGGCGCTTTAGACCACTGAGCCATCTCACCAGCCCTAAAAACTGTAATTCTGATCGACAATTGTACTTATTAATGTGTTAACAATGGTGCTTTGGTAATGAGATTACAATTTCTCTTTCTGTCTCTGGAAAGTATAAGATGATTATCAATTTTTTCTGGGCTAAACTGGAAGAGCTGAAATTCAGAGCTTTCTCTGACTTCATCATGAATGTGAGCCAGGTCAGCGTTGGTCAGTGCTCCAGACAATTCTGCACCTGCCTTAGTTTAATATTTGGGGCGCTGTCCATGGTTCTTTCCAGCTGCTGGTAATACTGGAACTTAGGTCTTAGATGCCCTTTTATTGTTATTCATTTACTTAATTTTTTTATGGTGCTTGGGATAGAAGAGCTCAACCTGAGACACATTCCCAGACACACAGATGCACTTTGTAGACATGATGCCTATGGAATTTTTATACTTTTCTTTTTTTTTATTCTTTTCAATTTTTATTTTTTAATGGAATTAAGCCTTCATGTTGTCCTCTTCATCTTACCTTAGTTGTAAGGGTGAAAAATTCTTGTAAGCCCCCCAAACAACTTGGTCTTCTGTGACTCTTAGAATGGTCACTAATTTAGTCTTCAAGTCCAGTAAGTTTGGGATTTAAAAGTGATATAGGGGAAAAACAATTGTAAGTCCTAACCTGCTAGATGTCCATAGGCTGAGTTCCTATTCCCAAAATGGAAGAATGAATTCCAAAGAACAAAAAAGGTTAAGAGGAAGAAAACTCAATTGAGAGAGATTTTAGTTGGTGAGAGCTGGGAGAGGACCCCAAAGCAGGTTGCCAAGGAGCTCACTTCTCAAAGGAAGACTTAGAGAGCGCATAATGTGGGTCAAAACTGTGATCACCCAATAAGATTCCAAGTAGAGCTGCTTAGGTTGTATTTATGCAAGGAGGATGTGGGCCAGGTAGCTGTAAGGAGCAATGAGGGTGAGGCAGAGAACAGCAGAGACCCCAGGGTTGTGTACGGCGACACGTCAGGGGGTTTCTTGTGCCAGGTGCAGCGCTGCCAATTGCTCTAAGCACGGCCTGCACAGAACGGTGCGTCTCTCTGCAGAAGGCAGAGCACGTTAAATAATAAGAAGAACATTCAACGATGGTAAATTTTCCAGAATGAAGTTCTCATGATATGTAAAACTTCTATTTTATTATTTTTCTGATCTTTTTCCTAAATGAGACAATGAGATGAATGAGTGAAAAGTGAGAAAGAAGGTTTCAGCACTGAATAGTCCAAGAGAATACAATAGGGGGCAGGATGCTGTTATGGGCCGCTCAGCCTCGCATGTGCAGGCTCCTCTGCTCACCACTGGCCAAATCAAAGGGTAAAAAACCCAAACATTTCAGTAAAAAGTAAAAAGAATTTATTCAAAGCTAGCTCCAAAGAGATGGAGGGGCCTGAAGTCACTATCTCTGGCTTACAGAAAGGCAAGGGTTTTTTAGAGTAAGCAACAGAGGGCAGCACAGGGACAATATAGAGCTCGCTATTAATTTTCTAATTTCCCACCATTCTACACCATCCTCTAATTTCTTGTTTCTTTGTTTGTCTGTCTGTCTGTACCACAGATTGATCTGAGGAGGTTGCGCTTACCGGGCAGGTTCTCATGCCACTGAGCTCTCTCCCAGACCCCCAGCCTCTTATTTCTTCTTGAAAGCAAACCCAGCTCCTGGACTTTTGGGGCTGGCATCTGCATATTCTGCCATTTCTGTGCCAATCATGAGCTAAGGAGCGTGTTGGTCTGTGCTCAGCAGGAGGAAGTTTGGAATTCTAGATCACAGTACTGCTTACAGTTCAGGCTCAGACATCCAGCTACCCTTGATAGAATCAACACCAGGCCTAGCCAGAGCAGGCACTCGAGTGCCCGCAAAACTGTGAGCAAAAAATAAACAGAGGAGGACTTGTAAAGGCACTGTAAAATAAACGGCATCCAACCATCAGGCTCCACCACGAGAGGACCAGGTCTGCTGTCCTCCCTCATCATCTCCGCCTTGTGACACACACATCATTCCATCATAGGCAGCTAGTTTAGGTGGAAATAATTAGGCTGTCAGACAGGACTAGGCACTTGAGGAGTCTGCAGGAGAGGAGACGCAGCACAAGGGAGGCTGGAAGTGCACGCGCTGAAGGCCAGGCCTCAAGCAAAGATGCAGTGCCCAAGCGACATGGCTGCCTGAGGTGAATGGTAACTTGAGATGGTACTGCGATTGCTATTGCCTGGTCAAGGTGATCCAGCCAGTCATCAGTATCCCAGGCAAGTGACCAGAACACCTGCACTGTCTGTTCCCAAATGCCTTGTTCTTTCCATAGACCCCTGCTATGTGCCTGACTTCCCCTACTGGGGCAATATTAGCTAAACATCTATAATTGTAATCCATAGGTTGATTGTAATTTGACCCACATTCTACCCACATCATGACCTTGCTTTGTACATTATCCCTGCCAAAGGGCCTTGGTGGCAGCCTGCTTCTGGGACACCTCTTGTGTCTCAGGAGCAATCTTTCAATCAAGCTTTTCTACTCTTAACCTCCTTTGTCCCTTGAGATTCATTCTTTCATTGTGTGCAGAACAAAGTCTGCTCTTGTGCCATCTTAAGATGGGAGCTATCTTTTTTTTTTAAATACTGATTCTTCCCTTTATAAGGAAGTCCAATAGTCTTTGATTTTTTTTTTCTTTTGGATGCCTTCTTCTCTCTTCTATCCCCTCTCCCCTCTGCCCTCTGCCGTCTCCTCTCTCTCTCCTCTCCTCTCCTCT